TGTGGCGGCCGAAGAAAAGTGAGGGCGGCCGCAGAGCGGCAGCTGAGGACGCTGGTACACACCACCAACATCTATGTTTATCCTCCCATCCACGAGTACTGCGAAAAGCTAGCGTCCAACTTGCCTGATCCTCTCAAGGTACTGCAAAGACTTTTCTTTGGAGAGAAATGTCGAATCAGAAAAACAACTAGAATGGCTTTCAGCAAAGTACAGACCACCGCTAAGCGTAAACAAACCCAAACATGTACGCAAAGTTTTGATACGGTCAAGCTCACAAAGCAGCGACATACTGTCACTCACGAGCCAATGACTATAATCTCTGGTGATGAGCTACATTCCGCCCTGCAGGTAATCTACCTAACCAATAGCGGCTCAGAGGCCAATGACCTGGCCATGTGTATGGCCCGACTCTACACTCGCAACTTTGACATCATCACTTTCAGGTATCTGCCCTCTTGTTGGATTTTAATATCTTCATAGATTGTGCGTATGAACCGAACGAGGTGGTCCTTGAGTGTAACAATTTTCCAATGCGTGATAAGGTTTTCAATATTTTTACTATTTTTTTATTTTCCTTGGGCTGCAAATTTCATGCTGACGTAAAAACAAAAAACATTAGTTTTAGGGACATCGCGTTCAAGGCGCATAAAACGTTGAACAACCTTGTCATGAATTTTGAATGACATTTTCACTTGCAGGGGGTCGTACCATGGAGGTAGTCCGCAGACCATGGGTCTGACTGCACAACAAGCTTACAAATACCCTGTCGCCATTGGCTTAGGCTGCACAAATGTACGTACAACTAACTTCCTTTCAACGCCACAATATGAAAACAATACAACGTTATTTTTAATCTACAATTTGATTGACATTTATGAGGGAGTTTTCTGTGTGGTTCTAATACTTAGATGTGTGTAAAGGCGCACATTGCTTTATTCGATTTCATGACTCCTTAACTCATGTGTGACTGTGTACAGTGCACGCTGTGGACCCTGCTGATTTGCTTTCTGCCCTAAAAACCAAATAGACCATGTGTCCTGATGTGTTCAGAGGTCCCTGGGGGGGAAGCCACTGCAGGGACTCTCCTGTGCAGACCACCAGAAAATGTAACTGTGCCCAAGGTAAACATGACGCTCACACTACACTGCTTTTAATTCACGCTTAAATGAGCAATATATCCTCTTCAATCAAGCACACTGAGTAACATTTATATTGTTTTTAAACCACTGCATTATAAGAGTTCCCATATGTCCTGGAAAATCTGGAAAATAACGGAACCTTTTTTCTAGTTTTGGAAGATGCAAAGAAAATAAGAAACAGAAGTGAAATGTCCTGGAAAAGCTTTGAGTTGTCCTGCAGAATTGTTTTTCCTCCCTCTGCTTCTCCTGCCTTTTGGGTAAACACAAACAGGTTAAACAGACAAGCATGTTTGTTTTCAGTTGCCGTCAATGGGCAACATTGAGCTGTAGAGCTTTTCTGCTTTTAGCCAGCACAGCGCCCCCATGTGACGCTACCAACCAATCAAATTGCTTATTCCCCTACAACACTTGGGCTGCCCAATGTTTCCATGTGACTTTGTTGCTAGATATAGAGTACTGTACTGACTTTTCAGACCCAAGGGAAGGTTTATTTTCCCCAAAGAAGTGGCAAAACTAGCAACTTTCAGCTCAAGCGTGTTACTATCGCTGGGTATATCGAGTGTGAGGTTTTTCGCCCCCTCTCTGGCTCCTCTATTGAGAGACAGAGAGCAGTAAGCGGGCGTGCCGTCACTTTTGGCCCGGGGACGGAATTTATTTGTGTACGTTGTGATAACTTTACTTGTACTGTAGCACATGGAAAAAAAGGTCCTCGAAATGTCCTGGAAAATAATTTCAAGGAAAGAGTGGCAACCCTGATTATTGCTGAATGTCAATTTGTTCTATTCTTAACCCATCTCACAATCTGCGTAAAGGTCATTTTTACCACCGCAATTGGACGACACAAGAGACGCTCAAGGTCTCCTGCTGTCAATCATCTCCCACTGTCAATCATTGACCTCATTTTCAGAAACGGGAGAATGACATACCTTGAAGTCTTGCTTGTGTTCCACAGGCTCTTGCGTGGCAAATGAACACTACATTGAACAACTCAAAGAGACGTTTCTCACCAGCGTCCCGAGTCGAATTGCTGCTTTCTTTGCTGAGCCTATCCAGGTGTTCTTTTGCGCACGCACACACACACACACACACACACACACACACACACACACACACAAAAATTAGAAAATTGATGTCTTGTAATATTCAAGTCAACGAGCGCTGCACCTGGACTGGAACCGGAAGTCAGAAAGTCACGAACAGCGCAAAACCTTGGACAGGAACAGGTTGTTGGAGAGACTTGCACCTTGAACAGAAACAGGAAGTTAGATGGCCATGTACTTGTACCTAAACATAATAAACACACACACAAAAGAAACCAGCAGTTGAAGGATTTAAAGCTTATTTAAAGACATTAATTAAACTAAAGCACTGACTGTTTTTTTTTTTTGTTGTTGTTTTGTTTGTTTTTGTTTTTGCAGGGAGTTGGTGGAGCCGTGCAGTACCCAAAACACTTCCTGAAGGAGGCGTACAAACTTGTGAGAGAGCGAGGCGGGCTCTGTATCGCTGATGAGGTTTGAAGCTACATTGTTAGCGCAACTTATGAGTGCCCCAACTTAGAAAGTTTTTTTGATGTATGACAAAAAGGCCATTTTCATCAGCACAAAATAGTGCGTATATGTCTGTTTTTTTTTTATTAATTTTTTTTATAGAACCAATGTCCCAAACAGTATCTTAAGAAAAAAGGTCATGCTCGAAAAACGAGTCTCAACGCTAACGGTCTTATCGCAGGCAATTTTCACCACATATTGTGGCATTCATTGAGATCAAGTGTACCAATAATGCGCTGATAGGTACAGACGGGATTTGGCCGAACGGGGAGCCACTTCTGGGGATTTCAAGGTCACGACGTCCTTCCTGATATCGTGACCCTGGCAAAGGGCATCGGGAACGGCTTCCCAATGGGAGCGGTGGTTACAACACGGGGTGAGATGACGCCACATGCCGACTTTAAACAGCGTTCGGTTTGCCGATGCACAGGAAAGACTAAAGCCCCTTTTCGCACTGCACTCGCTTCCGTTCAATTCAGCTTAGCTCTTGAGCATTTACACCAAATTTCTACAGAAATGATGGTCTCTCACCAATTTTTTTTCCCCCCTTGTGTAACTGTTATCATGTTATGACTTGTTTATAGAAATCGCAGACACTTTTGCACAGGGTGTTCATTTCAACACCTTTGGAGGAAACCCATTGGCTTGTTCCATCGCCTCATCTGTCATTGACGTAAGAATATTCTCTTCCTCGTAACTCAAGCATGAGAATCAAGCATGAATTGAGCAATTTCAGGAAGTTGGGCCAGGTTGAAATTGTTCTTTTATACTGTATTTATTAAATGTGCAATGATATAACGTGCACGATAGTCTCCTGCCTAACACCGCAAAAAACAAACAAACAAAGAACAAAATGTATTTTACAGTGAACACAATCTAACATGTGACGTGACCACTCGCTTGTCCAGACCATCAAAGAAGAAGGACTGCAGCAGAACAGTCTGGAGGTGGGCACCTACCTGATGATGGAACTCGCCAAGCTCAGAGACAAGTATGACATCATCGGGGACGTCCGTGGCAAAGGACTGCAGATCGGCGTGGAAATGGTCCGAGACAAGGTAGCAGTCCTGTTCGTTTTGCAACCTTTTCTGCATTTTGAAGTGGTGTTGGAGCCGTAAAAGAGGCAAGACAGCACCTATTTTGATGCTAAATCCATAATCCCCCCCACCCCTTTTTTTTTTTTTTTTTTTACTTCTACTTTTACAAAGGTGACTCAGCAATATTGTTCTGGATGTTACTTTACTGTATTATTTTTTTAATGGCCATTTGGCAAAATAACTTAATTGAAAGTATTACGGGACAAAATGAAGGTCTCATCGCGCTTCTTTCTGGTTCATGTTTTCCCCCCCATTAAGCTCAATCCTTTCGCAGAAGCAATCATTTTAGCAGGCAACTGCTAAGAGCCTTGATGGAGTATAGCTCCATCATGCGTTACTGTGGTGACCACCCCGCACATTTCGCCGCCAGCCCATCACAGAGCTCCATTGTAATGTTCACCCGCTTGTGTCATGTCCCCAGGCCAGCAGAGTGCCGCTTCCACCTGAGGACATGGCCGCCATCTTTGAGGACATCAAAGACATGGGCATCCTCGTCGGGAAGGGAGGACTTTATGGACAGGTACTGTCACCTTTCGCATTTTGGACTTGAGTTGAGTCTAAATTATAAATAAATCCCAATAATTGTTTCATATGTTTGCAAAAATTTGTATGAAGGATTTTTGAATTAATCCAATCAGAAAATGAATGTGCAAATGGTTAATTTCCGTAATAATTGGCATTTTGATCAAAGGACTCGATGCACGCAGCACTTCAGCATTTGGCGTACAGTGCTGTGCTAACTTCCAGTCGCTAGCCTAATGCAAAGCGATAACATTGAGAGTGTCAAACACTTTATTATGTAAATTTCAATCAGAGATGGATTTATGTATCCCTAAACATACTTTTGATGTAAAAGCTTGCACAATATGGATTTTACCATGTGTTATTTACAGCTAGGACTTTTCAGGGAAAAAAAAAAATCCACCTGTTGCTGAATCTAACCTTTAATTTGTGATTATTACTAAATATATTACATATTATTGTTTTCATTAGTAGTATGAAAACCTGGTGTGCGAGATTCTGAATCAGCACAGAAAATGTATCGGATATAGTTTACTTGCGTCTCAGATTTATTTTTATTTTGACCAGTGTAATTGTTTGTTTCGATGTCGCGGTGTGTGCGTGTGTGATTTGCCGAGTTATTTTTGCTCACCGCAGACCTTCCGCATCAAACCTCCCATGTGCATCACGATGGCAGACGCAGCCTTCTTCTTGTCCGTTTTTAACAAGTCCATCCAGTGCTTCATGGAGAAAAGATGAGCCCAGTCAGGGACTTCAAAACCTCATGTTTTTTTTTTTTTTTGTTGCATCACCATGACAATTTTTCAAGCTGCGGTTGCTCGGGCAAAAACACATTAACCATGACGCATAGCTGACAATAAATCTTGTCAATTACTCGCACGTGATTTCATAGCAATTTGTGATGACTTTGTTACTAAATGTAAATGCAATAAAAAGTTGGGGCTGTGTAATACAGGTATTCTCGAACATTTCAAGACGAGCTAGGATTGATTGGAATCACCCTCACCCAAAGCTTGTGAGGGTCACCGTTCTTCTCCTCCACCAACAGCTTGTTTTTCAAACTCTCAGACCTGTGCAGATGTACAGTTTGAAGACTTGTGTCTCCTTATTGAGTGGTTGTCACATTACAGTCAGCGACAACAGTAGACGAGATGTTCGAAAGTCCTCTAAAAATTGGACCATTGGAAGACGAGATGCCCCAAAACAAACATTTACGACGAGTTGACAATACGGAGTAGGAAAGTTGTTGGTTTTTTTTTGGCTACTGTTACAAAATTATTAGCACGCTTTTTGGCTTTTTTTATGGCTGTGCATTTCCGTAAATGGTGAACGATTCAGAGAGGCTTGATTTACGTATGTGTTGGTTTTAATGTGCAGTCACAAAAAAAGTCAACTGTGAATTCTGTCTTGAGGGGTATTTTGTTGTTTGCAATCCAACTCTGTGGCACAAGTTGCTTTTGAAACACATCAGCAAGAAAAGTGGTGATAATGACAGCAGGATAGTACAGTAGTTTCAGTTTGTTACTCTGAGTGATTGCAAGAAACAATCAGTTGGGATTCCATCTCACACAAAGCAAAGTCTTTGGCTGATTTCATTCACACCGAAAAAGGAGGCTGAGCAGCTCGTAAGTAATTTCAGGCAAATGCAATAACCCTGGGCTCAAAAACAAATAGCGCAGACAGGCAATTTCTTCTTTGGGTTGCATTTTTCTTTTTATCAAAAGCTCTTCTGCACTCAAGCTTCCTTCAATTGCAGCTAAGTACAAGCGACGATGGGAGCTTCGCAACGGCTAATGAGGCCATTTGGCAGAGAGCGGCTTTTGTTACCCGAAAACCAACACACGAAGTACATACGGCAAGTACTCGTAGAGGACCTTGAAGACCAAGATGGATGGTTGAAGTGAACTTTTACCCCCCCCCCCCAACCTCTTTTTTTTTAGTCAAGCAAAAGTGTTTACAAATGTGCTGGGAAAGTGTCAGTTTGTATAAATATATTTGTATAAAGACGACTTGTAAAAACTAATTATTTTATTGTAATTGGAGGGTGGGGGGAGCAGTCAGATGACAAAAAGAAGAATAATGTATGACATGATGTCCACCAAAGTTTCCAAAGAAATGGCTACTTTGCACAAAAGGTCACTAGTTCCGCCCGGCAAGTGGTGGGACGGCTTCCTTGCCTCACTTAAGACGGTCCAATTCCATTTGAGTCCACCCGAAGTGTTGTCATCTGTTCTTTCGTTTGTCTTTTTTGCTCCGACTTGCGGAGACGGTCGGAGCGGGATTGGACGAGAGCGCAGTGGCGTGGCCGCTGGATTTGAGGTGGTCGAAGAGTTTGTTCCTGGTGGAGAACTCACCATTACATGTCGCGCAGCGCAGCTTGATGGGCTTCTGAGAGGGGGGAAAAAAATCCCAGAGACAACAGAAGTTCGCATACGATTTATAATTGCGTTACCACCATCCACAAGACTGGAGTCAAACTGCATCACGTGACTGTATTTCTGTACCAACCTCAGGAAACTGCTCTCCTCCTGAATGTGCCTTGACATTCTTTGGTTTGTCTTTACCGTCTGCCTTTTTGGCTTTGGGGTTCATGGAGCTGGCCAACACATACGCACTGTTCAAGACAACTTCTTATCTAAAGGTAGAAAAGAGCAAATGAAAAGGCTCACCTCTTGGGCTCAGGGAGAGGAAGTTGATCTTCCTTCTCGGCTTCCGTGGGGCTCGATGACTCCTCGGGAATATCTCCTGGAACTTCTTCGTGGACATTTTCTGGAGAGTCTGGAGAGTCTTCAGAACAGTTCCCAACATCTGTAGGTGTAGTCTGATCCTTCGCTGTAGTGCTCTACATGAGAGGCCGGGGACAAGGAGTAGGAACCACACAAAGATGATATACCCTTCGGAAGGACTTGAAATATCCTCACTTGTTTATTCTGAACCACAATAAATTGTCCCACACACACACCCCTCTGCCTGGAAAAAAATATAAAACTGTAATACAGAGAGAGAGAGAGAGAGAGAGAGAGAGAGAGAGAGAGAGAGAGAGAGAGATTCTACTTGGTGTCAAATAAGACCTATACAGTATTCAGATATTCATTTGACAATGCCTTGAAAATGGGCAAAAGAAAAAGAAAGTCACAAAATGTTCTTGGTGTGTGTGCGTGTGTGTGTGTGTGTGTGTGTGTGTGTGTGTGTGTGTGTGTGTGTGTAGGATGTAACTCACATTGGCTGCTTTCTGCTGCCTTTTCTTCTTCTTCTGCTTCTTGGAAAGTCTGGGTCAATTGTAGCATAACAATGTGGTTAAAATGTAAAAGAAATAAATAAAACAACTGTGGCGGCGTTCACATGTCTCACAAAGACCCACTTCAGTCTTGGTCGATCTTCCTCTTCCTGTTCCTGTTCCTCCTCCTCCTCCCCTTCTTCATCTCGGTCTGTAATGTGTTTGTTCTGCTCACCGTCCAGGGCCAGAGCAAGTGAGTCATCATCTTGAAGTTGTTGCCGTAGCAACGCGACCATCTCTCTGTGTTTTCGAGACTTCTCGTGGTTGCTCATACTTGAAAAGGTAGACATTGGAAAATGAATGAAACGGAATCTTCATGTTAGGCAGCATAGCATTTAGCTGATGAATGCATCGTGAATAACTCGTTCTGGTAAGAAAGAGGAGACTCACGCTTTGTCTGATTTGAAGGATTTGTCGCAGGCCGGACAGTAGAGGTCGCCATAGTAATCAAAGTTGATGTCGTCTGCATCTCCATCCGGACCTGTTCAATGAAGTGCGCACCCACAAAAGTCATTACCGAATACCTTATGGACCCAATCCTGCCACAAATGGCGAAAACGTACGAGTAATTAACGCTCTCCGCAAAGAAGCAGTTGGCACCAAGAAGTCACAAATGGTGGCAAAGCAATTCTTTTATCATATTGCCTTGACCTGATCACAAAAATTGATGTTTGCGTGTTTCTCTCAACACACCTAATGGTTCCTCGATGGGCTTCTGTGTTTCCAGCTCATCGTCTTCGCTTTCGGACGCATCTCCAAACTCCTCCTCGTACTGAGCCTCCATTTGCTGCAACTCCTTCTCCAGCTCCGACATGGCCGCCCAGCTCTGCTCCTTGTACTCCTCCGCCAGCCTTGCAACACGTGTGACATGAAGGTTAATGAGGTCTCCATTCACTTCGGTCCTTGCGCTGCCATGAGTAACATTTACTTGGCCTGACTGAGCTTCTGCTTGCGCCTGAGCTCCTGCACCTTCTTGCTCTTCTCTGCGTTACGCTCCTCCACCTCCTTGCGGTGCGCCTGCACACGGCGGTCGCGCTTGCGTATGAAGGCCACCAGCTGGCGCACCAGCTCGTTGCGCTCCTTGCGTGCCTTGTCGCGGGTTTTCTTGTTCTCCTTCTCCATAGCGCGTTTCTCCCAACGGTTGGACGCTTGCCGAGTGTCGTATTCCTCCTTCCAGGCAAAATTCTTAAGCGTGCAGAAGCTCTGCCAGTAACCGTAGAAGATGTGCACCACCTGCCAGGCGGGAATACCAGAAGATTTATTTTTATTTTATTATTTGCAGGAAGACCAGAAGATTTAATTTTGTTTTATTATCTTATTTTCATTTTATTGGACATATATTGTAAATGCTTTATCCTTAAAAAAGAATTGTTCTAGGTTTTATCAACATGTCTCTATATCCCCATTTTTGAGTTATCACCGGGCCTCCAATTGCATACACGAGAGTAGCTACTTACTGTATCATAGTCGCTCCGAGAATCCCCAAAGGGTGGAAACTCCTCCTCCTCATCATCATCATCTTCCACTTTTCCATGCTCCATCTCCTCCTTGACAATAGACTCAAAGAGATTTCTGTAGACTGCGTAGAAGCCCTAGGGAAGAGAATAACAACACCACCACATTTTATCAGCTGTCAGGTTTCCAAGGGGCCAGTTTTGTCTTTTTTTTTCCCCCGTTTAGCATCACCAACCTTGTCGTCGTCCCCATAGCCTGAGTAACAGGTGACGGTAAAGAACTGCAGCAGGTCGATACTGTCGTCCTCGTAGTCGCCGCTCAGGCCACCTTTCAGCAGAGCCTCCCTGTGATTGTCGTACCTGACAAACAGCACTTGTGTGACATTCCCATAAGAACTCAGACTAATTTCTCCTTGAAGGAAAATGATGTGGGGTGTAAAACAGACCAAGTGGACAACATGGAACACATTGTGGACGTTTGTTACATGTATCATTCAGACAAATGTGAAGCCATCAGCACTTAACAGCTTAGGGTTTGTTGAAAAAGACTGTAAATTATCGCCGTGGGTACTCTTGTCTTTCATCAGATAGCTTTAAACTTATGACCTAGAGGTTTTTTCCCGCACAAATATGTGTTACGTACACGTTGCTAGGGTACGATGATTACAATCAATGAACAATGCAGTAGTTACCATGCTCTCTCCTGTGGATCACTCAGAACATCATAGGCTGCCTGAATCAGCTTGAAGTGCTCGGCTGCTTCCTCGGCATTATCCAAGTTCTTATCTGAAATTGTTTGATGACAACAATTAGGACTATTTAAAGTAAGAACTCACGTTTTGTGAGCAGTCTGTCACTGACCGGGATGCCATTTCAGGGCTAATTTACGATAGGCTTTCTTCAAATCGTCGTCGTCCGCGTCCCGTTTGACTCCCAGGATTTCGTAATGGCACTTCATTGTTGTTCGTATTTTAACGGACTAAATGTACACTCCCGTTCAACTTGTATCTTCATTAACATTTAGCGTGTAGCAGCATGCTAAGTACCGGTTCGAATGTCGGCCAACGTCAAATGGTCCCGACTTTTGGGAGGAAGTATTTAACTTTTGCGAGTCTCAGACTCCAAACAAGATCCACGTTGTGTACATTATGACACGTTTTCCATCCGATCACTGAAAACAAGACAGTTTAATCGGGAACACGGCAACTGCCAAGTCTTTCATTCGTACAGCTGCCTCACGCGAGTATCTCTCTTTCTCGGCTCACTTTTCCACACGATGAAAATTCGTTGCTGCCCTCTTTGGCGCAAGGCTGAATTGTCAACTATCTACTACCGTTTTGCCTCAAATATGACATCCATTCATATAAATCAGAACTATTGTAATTATTTTTATGGTGTTGTTAATTGTGAATTTTGTAGTTGTTAATGTTATCGTCAAATAAAAACAAAAATGTCAGTCCAGTTACAACTTACAACCCGACAGTTGCACGTTCGCTCTCGTCCAGTTGCACATGGGTTGCGGTCTCGTCCAGTCGCGCGAGAGTTGCTCGAAAGAAACATGTCGACCCTCAAGCGAAAACGTGGAGGACGGTTACCCGGTGGAAAAAAAGCAAAGAAAGTAAAAACTCTCGCAGATGTAGGCGAACCTGCCACTGACAACGAACAGGAGAAGAAAGATGAATTCACCATTCCACCGCCAGTTTCTATGGTACGTGACTGAGCTTGTTATAAGTCGTGCAGGGTGTTAGCTTGCTAGCAAGGAGCTAACCAATTCATAAAGTTTAGCCCTCTGAGCCTGAGTATTAGGTTACCCTGAGCGAAATTTAGAATGGCGTGTGAGTGTTTTAGCTGATGTTGATTTTAATTGTGTTCAGGGCAAATGGACCAACAAGGAAAGGGTTCTCATATTCTCCTCGAGAGGCACTGACTTCAGAACGAGACATTTGATGCAAGACCTGAGGAACATAATGCCACATTCGAAATCAGGTCAGTGTTGCTTACATCTGGGAGAGTCTCAACAAAAGACAAAGCAGTAATTACTATTTGGCTAGAAGAGTACCCATCCATCCATTTTCTAATCTATTAATCTTCACGGTAGTCGCGGCGTGCTGGAGCCTATGCCAGCTGTCTTCGGGCAGTAGATGGGATACACCCTGAGCTGGCAGTTTTTCTTAAGAAATCATAATTTATTAAAACTATAATGAAAACATTTTATTTGAATTCCCACTAGATACCAAAATGGACAGAAAGGACAAGCTATTTGTTATTAACGAGGTGAGTGTTGTTTGTATACGATTTATCGTTGAAATTGTTCATAAATTTATTTACATACTCCAATGAGGACAAGCACTACAAAAAATAAATAGGTGGTACGATAGAAATGTATGTTTATGACCCGTTTTGTCCTTGTAGGTGTGCGAGATGAAAAACTGCAACAAATGCCTCTTTTTTGAAGCCAAGAAGAAACAGGATCTGTATATGTGGTAAGAGTCCCACTTTCTACTCCTTAGCATGTAAACCATACCTCGGTCATGAAACTCCACGAAAGATTATCACTTTTGTTGTCACGCAGGATATCAAATAGCCCTCATGGACCATCTGCAAAATTTCTAGTTCAGAATAGTGAGTGACCACCAATCCAATACTTGAATATAATTCTTACAATGACTGAAAATATAAACAATGTAAACTCCTTACAGTTCATACACTGGCTGAGCTCAAGATGACAGGGAACTGCCTGAAAGGATCGAGGCCGCTCTTGTCGTTCGATCCCGTGAGTATAGCCATAAACAAGATCAAGGGCATATTATGGTTTGCTTTCACGTCTTTTGATGTTTCCCCTGCAGACATTTGACAAGCAGCCCCACTATGCTTTGCTGAAGGAGCTATTCATTCAGGTGAGTGCTACCTCTCAGGATAGACTATTTAAGGGAAGGCCTTTCATTTTACAGAAACCGAATGCATTCGTTCATTACATTGTCCACATATTGCCTTTGAACGCTGTGTTGGCAGCATAACAGATGCCTCCTCTCCTACGTAGCCTGTATGTGTTGTGCAGGTCTTTTAGAGAAAGGGCTGCCTTTCTGAGGCGATAAATTAATCTTGGTCTTTATGCGAATGCATTCTAACATGATCTTTATTCAGATGTGGCTAATAAACGGGAGAGAAAGTTGTCAAAGTAAACATTCGTTATTAAGATGTCTTTTTGCAGACGTTTTCCACGCCGCGTTACCACCCAAAGAGTCAACCCTTTGTGGACCATGTCTTTACCTTCACGGTTGTAGACAACAGGATTTGGTTCAGGAACTACCAAGTAATTTATTTTTTTTTTGTCATACATAAAATAAATAGTACACACACACCACGTCAAAACTTTTCTTTGTTTTTGCTTGTCTACAGATCATCGAGGAGGATGCAGCGCTTGTGGAAATTGGACCTCGCTTCGTCCTCAACCTCATCAAGATGTTCCAAGGGAGCTTTGGGGGGCCCACCCTCTATGAAAATGCACACTTCAAGTCTCCCAATATGGTAACATTTACATTACGCTTGTGACCAGCAGTTGAACCTGGAAGATTTCAATCGCAACTATTGGTTGTAATTGGCTCCAAAGTCCAAAACCGTGCAGCCAATGTTTTGATATTGTATAGGATGGGAATTCAACGTTTCGCATTTAATCCTTTTTTTATTCTTCTTCAAACAAGATTCCAATTGCATCCACGTGTTTTGTTCACAAATGACAAGCACACGGCCGTGAACCGCCGCCGCTGTTTTGGGACATACAGTTTAACACGATGCTATCCTATTCACTCAGCACCGGCGTGAGCTGCGTCAGGCGGCAGCGGCCCGTGTGCGTGAGAGGCAGATGGTGAAGGAGTTACAGAGGGTGAAGAAAGCCCAACTCAAGCCGGAGATTTCCAGCGATGTAACGGAGGGAGTCTTCGATACACCGGCGCCGGAGAAACCCGTGACCATCGAAACGGAGCCACCAGAGCCGAAAGAGAAGAAGAAGAAGAAGAAAGGCAAATTGTTCAAAAGGAACAGGATGCAGATGGGGCGCAGGTAACGAGATGGACTGATTGATGAAAAGGAAGTAGGAAATACATGTATTCATTGAAATTGTGTTTGTTTTTTTTTTTTTTTTTTTTTTTGTGAATGCACCATATTAAAGTTGCCGCCTGTCAAGTTTGGAACAGTGACATCGACAAAAATGGCATCTCTTTGTTGCATTTATAAACATTTTCATACAAAAAGTTAACTGTGATGTCTGACAAACATTGGGGATGATTTCTGCTTGGGGGGTGAGTGTTTTGACTCAACACAGTTGGCTTTTGTACTTCTATTCGACTTTAGTTATGGCTAGTGATGGGTGGGTGAAGCTTCATGAGGCATTGAGGCTTTCCCCCAAATTGTGGCGAAACAGATTTAGAGCTTTGGTGCGTCAGTGAATGCAACACGAGCGACATCTTGTGGAAGAAGGGATTTAAAGCAACTTGTGTCATGAAAGAGGGAAACAGTCAATTACTCTACGCTTCAAACGTCAGAGGTCATGTGATATTTGCAGACCGACACAAGCTCCAAAGCAATATTTTGAAGCAGTATGATTCAATTCTGAAACAAGCTTCGAGATAGTGGTTGCATTTGACCATCACTCAAACCAATGAGCCAACTTGCACTGAGCAGCCAGGATTTAGTTTCATGTGCCGATGAGGTTACTAGGCTACAATTAAATGATACAACGGTTATGCTTTCTCTCTCCTTGATTGAGCTTGGTTTACCGTTGTCCTGCTCTACCAACATTTCCATAAAATTTTGTTGGTCTAGATAAGCAGGGTGTCCACAAAGTCTTATTACAAATGTAAAAACCATAAGTTGATGCAAATAAACATTTCTATACATATCCACTTGTTAAAGTTCAACGAGAGATAAGACTAATGTGTGTTGTATAAAGTTAATTGTGTGAAAACCACAACATATTTATTGACAATAATACAGATAAGCGTAGCAGCTTGTGACTTCTACTGGCCTTCACTATGTTAAGAAAACTGGACACTCGAACTTTAGCAATTGAGTGCTTTTTTTTTTTTTTAATGCTTTCTATCAGGTAGATTTTCATTATAATCGAATGGAGACACCCTTAGAAAAAATGCTGCCTGTTATAATACACCCAAGTCTGTAGAAGTATATCCACAAAGAGAGCAAAAAATATGAAAGTGCTGGAATGAGCAGCAAGTTAAATTATTTTTGAACCCATTTGTCCACAATTTACTTGTACCAAACTCTTGTTGAAAGCTGCCTTGCCACATTTTTGGGGGAACAATCACTCGTCGTCCGCTTCCTCATCGGGACAGCAGTAGTAATCCACAAAGCAGATTTGTCCGTCGTCGTTGCGCACCAGGTACTGCAGCGACAGGACCCCCCTGCTGTCGGTCCTCACGGACACTTTGCTAGACAACGCCAGCGCCTTGGTGGATGGCTTCAGCAGCGACATTTTGTACCTGGTTGGACAGAGCGCTAAATGTAAGCTGAACTTTCTGGAAAAACTTTTAGGTTTCTTCAAATTTTGACTTGTAACACAAAGTATTAAAACACACACACTCACTCACTTGTTGGTTTGCGTTGTGGTGCAATGGAACAGCTCCATCATGTCAGAATCTTTGGGGTAATCGTAATGAGCGCTTCCAGCGTTGCCGAAGGTTGACAGCCTGTAGTGTGGTGAACGCACCAAAAGTAAAATCATTCAATGCCTTCAGTAAAAAGGTTGGGGAGGGGCTTACCGAAAGTAAGGCTGGCTAAGGGACATGGTGATCTGCAGCACCTCGCTGGTCATGTCCAGTTCAGAAAAAGCCTCCTTTAAACTCTCAGACAGCAGGATCACCTTTGGGAAAAACACAAATAATAATTAAGGGTACCATAACAAATCATTTTCGTTTCTAGTTATCCTCACACTTTTTCCCATCACTGGTACCCTTTCTGTGCACTCACACACACTTAGTAAACTATAATGTACACAGCAGCCACAACTCTTACCACTTCCATCACTATGCTACTGCTGCACTGTAGTTCATTATTTCACGTTTTTATCGTTATCACAACACTTTTCCATCACAACTACCCTTCTGCTGTGACAGCAGACGTTCTGCTAGCTTTGACCTCCACCTTGTTTGTGACGTTACTACTGCAGAACTCAAAGTCAATCGGCTCCTCTGGCTCCTGCGTGTTGATCTTGCAAACGGTCACCACACCGCCCTCCTCCAGGAACAGGGTTAGGGGGTGACCGTAGCCTTTGTAGCACAATCGCAGGGCGGTTGACGTGCCTGAGGCATATACAAAAGATACTGTTCAAATGTATGATAGATCCTACAGTATAGCTACCGTAGATACATACATGTAGACTTGTAATAAGACATATTTGGAGCTTACAAATCCCCACCTGGTACTGTGCTTCCTCCAAAAATACTGAGACAATCCAGCAGAACTGTGAGGTTGATCTGCAATCCCACCAGATCTTCCTTGATGGTGAACTCCTGGAAGATTGCAGCCTACAATATACAACTCAATATTACTATGACAATCAGAATTCAACAAGTCCAACAAAGAATAACAAACCTGGATGAAGGCATTGGCTTGAAGACATTTAGAGTCCTCTACTGTGACTCTGAGGCCATTGGGTGTGGCGGTGAAGATGGCGTGGTCTTTGAAAGCTATGGCTTTTAGGATGTTGGACAAATTGCGTGCATTGTCCAAGGTGGCCACCAGCACGTATTGGTCATCGTCGCTCTGCGACTGCATCAAAAGTGGCATTGTGGCGCTGGAGAGGGGAGGGGCGATGTATTGAAAGAGCAAAATAATGTCAAATTGTGATCTCACAATGGTGTTTGGTATGGCCAGTGGTGGTGTTTGTCTGCAGCATGCACCGTAAGATCATATCCACTACACTAATAAATAAATGTTGTACGGCATCATGGTGATGAAGTGCTACCTCCATGGGTGAAAATACAATTGATGTTGGCAGTCTTGGTGCGCTCGTTTTTTTTTCTCCAAACATTCAAAATGTAATTACGACAAGTCTGAAATAAGTTGTTGATGTCGATCGTACTAATTCTGGATAATCAAACTTGACTTTGAAAAGTTGAATCCGCTTGCCATTGTTACATGACTTTTTACATAGCTAACTTCACGTCGCTTATTTTAACATTAGACATTTAAAAAAATATGTACCACTTAATATTAGTTCTGACTTAATAAACAAGCAAACAGAAAAGCGTAAAAGTCACTCACACAGTTATAGTTCAGATATCCATTTAGTTGTTTTGTTTTTTTTGTTTTTTTAGTCAGGCGACTGCGACGCCACTACATCCGCCTCCTGTTTGACGCTTTGCAGCGGAAGTAGATTATGCGCATGCGCATTGGCTTCCGCCTTCTAGATTGTTCGGTTTCTATGACAGGAGCGCAGTGAGAGTTTGTGCTTTTCATCTATAAAAGGTGAGCCTTGTTATGCAAACCCGTGCTTATTTGTACTATTTAACGGTGTAACTTAATTTATCACCAAAATGTCTGACAAAAAGTCAGCGTTAGTCACGTAGCTCGTCTTATGACGCAATAGTCGTTAAATAAACAAACCTCAAGTATATATGATGGTGGCATTTGGTGGATAGAAGTAATAAATTGTATACATTTGATAAGCAAACTTTTGTATTAAATGGGTAAATAAATTTGTATTTTTGCCACTAACTTACAACTGTCCTTCACAACATCACTACACGAATTCACTATGTAGTATTAACATCTGTTTCTGTATTGTAGGCCCGTAACTTGGCTGCAGCCATGGTGTGCATCCCCTGCATTGTCATCCCAGTTCTGTTGTGGGTCTACAAGAGGTTCCTGGAGCCCATTCTCTACCCTTTCATCTCGCCCATCATCAATACATTCTGGACCAAAAAAGCAGTGCAGGAATCCGGCACAGGTGACACGGCTGTCGGTGAGAAGTGTAACGGGACATCCAAGGAGGTAAGATGAAAGCGAAAAAATAATAATCATAGTATAATATAATCAAATAATTCAAAAAATGATCCACTCATTCTGTCTGTGTTCCAGCTCAACCACAATGGGGACATTACTGCCAATGGATCCACTGCAGCAGGCGATAAGAAGACAGACTGATCATTCTGACTGGTTGTAGATTGTTCTATAGCAAAAACTAATAAAACTGTAAATATTTTAAATGTTGTATTCATAATGTTCCAGATGACATGTAGTTTATTGACTTTATCACAGTATTGTTAAATATTGCAGCTCTTAGCTATTTTTTGACCGCATCCACCCTGATGTTGAAATTATTAAAAAAAAAAAAAAAAAAAGACTGTTCGATATGTATCAATTATTATTATTTGAGACTTGTGAAAGGAAAACATTCTATTCTTGGACTATTCTTAATAATTGTACAGCATGTACTTTGTATGCAGCGATGGTTGTTTGAAAGTGCTCTATAAATACAGTTGAGTTGAGATAATAAAAAAAAAGTTGAGATTTAATTATGGGGAAATAAATACTATTTATAATTTGAACAAGACAGTATGTTGTCCTGGTGGTTACCGCATCTATCACAGTTCTGAGATTTGGGTTTTGTATCTTAAACTGTCCATAGTTATGAATGTGAGTGTGAATGGCACGCATAAACGAGCTCATACACGTCACCTTTTTAATACATCGCCAAAATTCTCTAACACAGTACTGAGCACATATTTCAGAATAACGGATTTCAGTGCAATGAGTATGAGAGTGTTTCAGCTGGTTTGAAGGTAACTGGAATTTTGTCCCTAACGACTCCTCATAAGAAAGCACTCACAGTTCCCATTTTTCACTGTGTTGTTTTATATTTATGGCCTAGAACTGTTCATTTAATTTACTTTTTAACAATTGCGTACAAGTGTGCTACGTTGGCGACGTAAAAACACACCTCCCGTGTAAACCGAGGTTTTTTTCCAACAAACACGAAATATATACAGTACTAACAATCAGACATTCCAGTCCAGATATGTCATCATAAAGCAGATTTTTAAAGACAGAATTCTAAAGTGAGGACAGACACGTGACGTTTGTGTGTGACGTCACGACGCATGTGACCCTCCCCTTACCAGACGTCATCACGCAAGGCCGCGACGTGTTCAACATGGAGGGGAAGGAGTGTGTAGCAAAACTTCTCTCTTCTCTGGAATGACTCCACATTTGACGCTTGCACATTTTAACCTTACACCTGGATAAGGTTTAAGTGACGCAACACAGGGTGCATTTATTTTGCAGTCCTACTGGTAACGAAAGGCGCGGGAGCGGCGAGAAGCATTTGTGACAGGTAAGCTCAGCGGTCAGCTGATGGCGAACTCGCGGCTAACGTTAGCTGTTATAGCAACAACCTCAACCTGCTCTAATTATTCAAGCGTATTTAAATGGTCGCTGTCATGTCGCAGTCACAACGATAGTAGCATCACGTCATCAAGATTTGAAATTGTCCAGGGGTGCGAACGCTTGTTTGTTTGTCCCCTGCAACTGGTTGATCACTAGTTAATGGTTTAATCTGCTTCTCTCGCCAAAAGGCACCTCTAACGAGGGATTAACGAGCGTGAATGATTTTCTACATATAAACTGCAATTTGCCGGCGACCAATTAAGGGTGTACCCCTCGTACCCCCCATTGCCCAAAGGCGGCTAAAGCTATCTGTACATCAGTCCTTTGGGAAGATTTGGAAAATACCCTTAGAAAAACATTATCTCACACCTGCACACATTTAAATACAACTTAAAGTTTTTAGTTACAGCCTCGTCGCGGACTGAGATTTTACAAAGACGATGAATTTTGCTGGGTCACTATTTACAAGACTACATTCTTTCTGCCCCCCCCCCCCTTTCCTCCCCCATCCGAATTTTTCCCATCATGCTCTTGGGAGAGTGTCCGGTTTTGTTAGAGCTCATCTGTCGGTTGTTGGTTGTGTTACATCACTGCAAAGATTGAAAGATTTGTGATGATATCAAACATGTTTGATGTTGTAAGGCCAAGACAAGGAAAAGGCTGATCACAGTTGCCTATTTCAGTATTCAGTATGTGTGTAGTATTTCAAACATATGACTGACCGTTGTTACATTTCAAGTACTTTCATGTGTGCAGGTCTTGGCATATGCCCAGCAAACAAGCAGTGAGGCAGCATTGAGTCTGGAGATGGGAGCCAACACCAGCCAGCTCAGTGACCTGCCCAACAATCCCAGCCTCAAGGTTCTGGTGGGCACCGAGTCCATATCGGAGAATGACCCCTTCTGGAATCAGCTCATCTCCTTTACCGTCATCAGTCCCACCAGCAGGTACTTGACGCAGAAGTCTAGTCACATGTCTGAAGCGGTTAAGTCCCACCCAGGATCCTCCAGTATTCCAGGATGTTTGCAAAGCCGACTGTCACTTGAGTAATGATTCATCATGGTTTTTCGTCCTGGTTGAGCAGAAAGGGATTGACTAGTTAGTGATTTGTTCCTGTGAAAGCAGTGTTAGGCTGCATAGTTCCCGTGACATAATTTAAAAAAACGTTTTGTTTTTTTTCCTCTCAAGGGGCACAATTGATAAGGGTCATGGCAGTGTGAATCGGATAAAAAAATAGGTGTTTCCATCAATGGATAAGCAAAAAAATTGTTGTGAACATTACGTATGATGAATGTGGATTTTTGTTTATCTCTTTCTCTTCAGTGGAGACTCCAAGTTACTGGAAGAGGCTGTGTTACCACTGGCCAAGCTCCTCAGTATGGCAACTTTCTTAATTGATAAATTGATCAATACTGCAGTCAGGCACATGGAAAGTTGCATTGTGTGCTGTGCCTTGTGTGATGTTTTTTTTTCCCCACCCTGTTTTTAGTTGAAAACAATCCTAGAACAGGAAACCTTGGCGCTCTGGTGAGAATCTTCCTGGGACGGACAAAAGAGCTCAAAATCTCCACAGAATGCCAAGAGTGAGTGTGGGAAGCTTTTTGTGTTCGTCATCAGTGTTCCTTGTTAATGTGTCTAAGATGGCAGAGTTAATCAAAAGCAGGACGGGCGAGGTTGCCGTCATCAATTCTATTGGAGAAGCAATGTCACTTAGAGTTATTATATTTGGATTAAAGCGTTGCCAAACTTTTTCTACTTCAGTTGCCTTCCATTTTTTTCCAGATTTGGAAACCCAAGTGTAGAAAAGACCTTAACCGCTTTGGTATTAAAAACTATAGTGAGCGACAAAGGTGTTCAGCAAAAGTATCATACGTTTGACTTTCATTTTTCTTGAATAGTCATTTACCGGATGAGAAAGATTCAACTCAATATTCATGTTTTTGTTTTTGTTTTTTTTTTTGTAATGAAAGTTGCAATTACTACACTTATAATAACAAATAGCCACAATTTTACCATTCTTATCTGTCATTCAAGTTAACCCGCATCCAAAATGTGTTATAATGTGATGTCAACTCTCCTCTGCAGTCAGCTATTCATCTGGCAGGCACACAACGCCCTCTTCATGATCCGCTGCCTGCTCAAGGTGTTCATCCGCGAGATGAGTGAGCAGGAGCTGCACTTGCAGTTCAGCTACCAGGAGAGGGCGCCAGGCTCCTGTGGAGGTGAGCCATGTCTCCCAGTCTCATGCCAACACGCCTTTCAGCACGGAGGTGGTCAAGGACAGGAAGTTGTGGTCAGAGAGGGCATGGAAACTGACAAACAATCTGATATAATTAAGTGACTTGTGCTGCGTTCAAGAAAGGTGGGAAAGTCGGGTACCTTTGTTGATGGCTGTGCTTATAGGATATGACCTAATAATGTTTTGACTACTTTTCCTTCCTTATTCAAATTCCATTCACTTTGGAACCCGGCGCCACACTCCCATAAAGGTTGAATGGGGAATAAGCCACGCCCACAAGACTTCGACACCACACTGACGTCACACACAAGGGAAAATGAGACCAGCAACTATCTGAAGCCCCATCCTGCCTTGGGGCATATAAGTCAGTTTGAGCCAAGATGGAGCCAAGGTGCCATAGTATTACCAGCAACCTCGGCACCAGGCACCACTCTCCCATTAAGAATGAATGGGGAATAAGCCACGCCCACAAGTCTTCGGCACCACACTGACGTCACACACAAGGGAAAATGAGACCAGCAACTATCTGAAGGCCCATCCCCCCTTGGGGGGATCGAGGGGGGGTATAGAAGCCAGGGTGAGCCAAGATGGAGCCGAGGTGCCATAGTATTACCCAGTACCTCGGCACCCAGCACCATTCTCCCATTAAGAATGAATGGGAAAATAAACCACGCCCACAAGACTTCTGCACTACAGTGACATCACACACAAGGGAAAATGAGACCAGCAACTGTCTGAAGGCCCATACCCCCTTTAGGCGTGCAAGACAGTGTGAGCCAAGATGGAGCTGAGGTGCTGGGTTCTCCCATGGCACCTTGGCTCCATCTTGGCTCTTTGACATCACGGTTTCCTCCAAAGCCAGAAACTTGCCTTGTCAACTTCGCCTCTCCATCCTCATTGGTGCCTATAGAACAGTCACACAGGGTGGAAAAAGGCAGAAAGTCTTATTTATTTTCCAGGCAGTGTAAAATGGACACTATATACGGCACTGACCTTCCTCTGTTTCGTCTCTGAAACTGCCTTGAAAGCTGGAAAATTGCCAGGGCAACTTAGTCCCTCCATTCTCTGTCTGTGGCCTTCATACAGAATCGCAACACGGAACAATGGTGCAAAATGTCAAGATTTTACAGGCAGCATAAAAAGGGCTTTTAACATCTCTCTTTGTCTCCTCTAGGAGCGAGCCATGAGGACCTCCTTGAAGAGCTGTTATCCAACCTTGTGCACCTGATCGTTGAAGTACCGCTGCTGTAAGCACTTTCTGTGTGTGTTTGTGTCTGTTTGTGTGTGTGTGTGTGTGTGTGTGTGTGTGTGTGTGTGTGTGTGTGTGTGTGTGTGTGTGTGTGTGGGCGTGCGCGCAAATCGTGAATGTCACTTGTGCACATTTCAAAAAAGGTCAAGATGTGCTCAGACTATTGGGGAAAAAAAGGCAGTTACAGTGACCGGGATGATCACAATGCCCCAACTGTTCCCACACGGCAATTTAATAATGCAACTTCTCTGACATTTTGCATAGGCGACTTAAAAGAAAAACAACAATGAAATTGTGGTGACCCATATACAGTTTGTCACTCCCTCTCATCATCTTTTTCATTTGTAGTCATTGTGCCCAGGATGTTAGTCACTGAAATAATAAAGATATGTTTTTGCAGGGAATGATTGATGAGTGGTTCGCATAGCCGCCTCATAGTTTTGAAGTTGCGTGTTTGAACCCAGGCTCTGGCCTACCTGCGTGAAGTTTGCATGTTCTCCCAAGCACTTGCGTGGGTTTTGTCTGGGTACCTCGGCTTTCTCCCACACACCAAAAACATTCATGTTAGGTTAATTAAAGACTGGATTGCCTTGAAGTCTGAATATCCTAATTGTAGGGTT